TAAAAAAATATCTAATGTTTGGGGGTTTAAATTATTTCCTAGCAAAAAATACACATTTTTTTCATGTGAACAAAAAGTGTCAGAAAAGGCTTGGTCTTCAGGTGATTAGAAGAGTGAGTGATGTGTGGCATAAACTTCTAATGCTGGGCATTTAAAAAAACGCCCCCACCCCCAAAAATGACCTCTTTTTGGAAAGTAGACACCCCAAACTATTTGCTGAGAGGCATGTTGAATCAATAGAATTCATTTTTTTACCAAGGTTTTTGGAAAATGACAAAAAAAAGTGTTTTGTTTTTACACATAATTGTCACTTAAATGATTTACTGCTCACACAAGCCATGGGTATATGTGGAATTACTCCCCAAAATGCATTCTGCTACTTCTCCCGAGTATGGGGGTACCACATGTGAGAGACGTTTTGGCAGTGTAGTCAAGTACAGGACCCCAAAATCCAATAAGCACCTTCAGGCTTTTAAAGGGCTTTATTTCCTCATTACACTTCCTGACTACCTATCACAGTTTCAGAGGCCCTGAAATGTCAGGATAGCACCTAACCCCCCCCCAAATGACCCCTTTTTGGAAAGTAGACACCCCAAGGAATTTGATAAAAAGCATGGTAAGTATTTTGAAGATCTCATTTGTTGCCACAAGTTTTTGGAATATGAAGAGAAAAAAACAAAAACATATTTTTTCTATTTTTTTTATATTTTAAAACCTTGTGAGAAAAAATGAGATCTGCAAAATACTCACCATGCCTCTTTTTAAATTCCTTGAGGTGTCTACTTTCCAGAAAGGGGTCATTTGGGGGGGATTGGTGCTATCCTGGCATGTCAGAGCCTCCGAAACTGTGATAGGTAGTGAGGACGTGTAATGGGGAAGTTACGCACCTTCAGGCTTTCAAAGCAGTCATTGGATTTCAGGCTCTGTATGTGGCTAGGCTCCCAAAAAGTCTCACACATGTGGTATCCCCATACTTAGTAGAAGTAGCAGAATGTATTTTTGGGTGTAATTCCACATATACCCATGGCTTGTGCGAGAAATAAATCATTTAAATGACAACTTTGTGAAAAAAAAAAGATGTTTTGTCATTTTCCAGAAACTTGTGGAAAAAAAATAATCTTCCATGGACTCAAATATGACTCTCAGCAGATAGCTTAGGGTGTCTACTTTCCAAAAAGGGGTCATTTGGGGGTGTTTGTACTATGCTGGTATTTTAGCACCTCAAGAAATGTGATAAGCAGTCAGAAAGTAAAAGCTGTGTAAATTCCATTATCTATACCAGTGGTGGGCAACCTTTTTTTTCAACTGAGCCAAATCTCGCCAAAACCACGATTGAAATTTATTTTGAGAGCCACATTTTTAAAACTGAAAATACATAGGATGGTACACTGTTTTTAGTTTCAATAAGTTTTTTATAGTAATTCATCCCCCATATAGTAATTCATCCCCCATAGTAATTCATCCCCCATATAGTAATTCATCCCCCCTATAGTAATTCATCCCCCATATAGTAATTCATCCCCCATATAGTAATTCATCCCCCATATAGTAACTCATCCCCCATAGTAATTCATCCCCCATAGTAATTCATCCCCCATAGTAATTCATCCCCCATATAGTAATTCATCCCCCATAGTAATACATCCCCCATATAGTAATTCATCCCCCACTATAGTAATGCATCCCCCATAGTAATTCATCCCCATATAGTAATTCATCCCCCCATATATAGTAATTCATCCCCATATAGTAACTCATCCCCATAGTAGTAATTCATCCCCATAGTAATTCATCCCCCATAGTAATTCATCCCCCATTCATCCCCCCATAGTAATTCATCCCCCATAGTAATCTCATCCCCCATATAGTAATTCATCCCCCATAGTAATTACATCCCCATATAGTAATTCATCCCCATATAGTAATTTCATCCCCCATATAGTAATTCATCCCCCATATAGTAATTCATCCCCCATATTAATTCATCCCCCATAGTAATTCATCCCCATAGTAATTCATCCCCCATATAGTAATTCATCCCCCATAGTAATTCATCCCCCATATTAGTAATTCATCCCCCATATAGTAATTCATCCCCATAGTAATTCATCCCCCATATTAATTCATCCCTCATATAGTAGTAGTAAGTAAGTAGCAAGTAGTAAGTCAAGTCCCTCCTGTGTCAATTCACTTACCTTTGCTCCGCGCGTTCCTCTCGCCGTGCTCCCCGCGCCGTTCCGGTCTTCAGGGCGGACTGTGAGAGGAGCCTAGCTCCCCTCACGTTCGTCACGCTGCCCCGCCTACACACATCCTGACAGCCAATCACTAGCTATCAGGATGTGAGTGGCAGCGAGACTGGCCAATCATATTGCTGGGCTAGCTGCAGAGTCCTCAGCCACCCGAGAGGAGGGAGGGGAGGGGAGCGGCCGCCCGAGAGGAGGGAGGGGAGAGGAGAGGAGGGAGGGGAGGGGTAGCGAGCGCCCGGCACACAGAAAAGCCGCATTAAAATGTGTAAAGAGCCGCCATGTGGCTCGCGAGCCGCGGCTTGCCGACCACTGATCTATACCATAGTTTGTAGACGCTATAACTTTCACACAAAGCAATCAATATACACTTATTGGGAATTTTTTTAACCAAAAACATGGAGCAGAATACATTTTGGCCTAAATTTATGATGAAATTTTATTTTTTTTGGATATTTTTTATGACCGAAATAAGAAAATATTGTTTTTTTTAAAAAAAATGTTTTTCTTCACAACTTTTTCTGGTTATAGCGCCAAAAATAAAAAGCGCACAGGTGATCAAATACCACCAAAAGAGAGCTCTATTTGTGTGAAAGAGGACATACATTTCATTTATGTTACGTATTGCATGACCGTGCAATTGTTTTTAAACTAGCGCAGCGCTGTATAGAAAAAAAAATGGTGTAGATTGCAGTATCTATACCATAGTTTTGTAGACGCTATAACTTCACACAAAAGCAATCAATATACACTTATTGGGATTTTTTTACCAAAAACATGGAGCAGTTATAACTAAACTTTGAGTTTACGATATATTTTTTATAGCTGAAAGTAAAAAATATTGTTTTTTCTTCAAAATTTTTGGTCTTTTTTTGTTTATAGCGTGAAAAATAAAAAGCGCACAGGTGATCAAATACCACTGAAAGAAAGTTCTATTTGTGTGGAAAAAAAGACGTAAATTTTGTTTGGGTGCAGCAATTGCATGACCGCGCAATTATCAGTTGAATTAGTGTAGCGCCGAGTAGCAAAAAGAGGCGTGGTCGTTAAGGGGGGGGTAAGTCCTCAGGAGGGCAAGTGGTTAAATTTTAAAATTAATAAGTGACTTTTTGTGCACTAAGCTCGTGCTCATATCTCCGGAGAGATTCTATTGTATTGTAGTGTCTATGTTCTCATCGAAAGTTCATTGCCAATCTGTATGCAATTGCACTGCGCATTGGCAGATTGCATGCAGATTGTAAAGTAGCAGATTTGCCAGATGGAGATCTGTGTGTGTGTGGTGTCCCATCAGACCAGTGTGCAGACAAACTGTTGGGTGGTGGAAAGCTACTGTTTGTTGAGTGTCTGGTGTGGGGGGGGTGTGGACAGTGGAAGAGTGATTAACACTGAAGTTCTAGCTTGTAGGATAGCTGGAGGAATCTTAGAAGGGTGTGCTAATTGCTAGACTGCTCCCCAGCCCTTAGAGTGCACCAGATTGTATATAAGATTCATATCTGCCTGTGTGTGGTCAGCCAGCTGGATTGGAGTGGAGTCTCCCTCTAGTGGTGGCCAGAGTTTAGTGTGGGCTGTTGAAAGTGTATCACAGCCAGTCTTTATGCTTAGAATAAGTCCCTCTCATTCCCTCATTTGCACCCAGTCATGGACGATGCACGCCCTCGGTTAGCTAGTCGCTATGGGCATGCGGTTTTGATCCATGACATCACCTCTCTTATCTCTATTAGTAAAACACAGACCCTGACCGGAGAGGTGAGGAGGATTCTGGGAGGTCACATGACATCACTCTTATCTCTATTAGTAAAACACAGACCTGACCGGAGAGGTGAGGAGGATTCTGGGAGGTCACATGACATCACTCTTATCTCTATTAATAAAACACAGACCATGACCGGGAGGGGTGAGGATGATTCTGGGAGGTCACATGACATCACTTCTTATCTCTATTAGTAAAACACAGACCTGACCGGAGAGGTGAGGAGGATTCTGGGGAGTCACATGACATCACTCTTATCTCTATTAATAAAAACAGGCCTGACCGGAGAGGTGAGGAGGATTCTGGGATGGTCACATGACATCACTCTCATCTCTATTAATAAAACACAAACCTGACCGGAGAGGTGAGGAGGATTCTGGGAGGTCACACATGACATCACTCTTGTCTATTCTGGTCAATAGACCATTTTATTTTTGCACACATTTAGATGATGTCAGGTGATTGATATTGTTTTATTTTACCTCTCTGATCTGTAGGATTATGTTGTAAAGAAGAAGTCTAGTGGGGAGCCAATCTCAGGAGGATGGAGGAAGCAGAACCCGGGAGCCTCACCATTGGTGCCTCCATCTCATTCTTGTTCTAATACCTCAGAGGGAGGAAAGAGCAGAAGATTCTGGAACTGACCACCATGATGGTCCATCTAGCTGACAGGAGAGGTGAGCGGTGCCGGGAATTCTGGGACATTCTCCAGTAACAGAACAAGGAGTGTCTGGATGGTGACTGTATCATTGTGTGTGTCAGGTTCCTATAAGGTGTCAGGGTGTCACTGTCTATTTCTCCATGGAGGAGCAGTGGGAGTATTTAGAAAGGACACACGGATCTCTACAAGGACGTCATGATGGACAATCAGCCGCCCCTCAACATTCACCGGGTAAGAGGAGACTTTATTGTAAAGGAGCGAGAGCAGTACGGAGGATGCCACCTAGATCCCCCATCATCTGATAAACACATAGAAACAATGGATTCAGTCAGTGTGTGTGTTTCTACAGATGGATCCAGTCATGGGAACCCCAAAAACAGAGAGATGTCCCCGTCCTCTCTATTCCGGCCATTCACACAGGAAGGTCACACCATCCCTCACCATCATCAGGTAGATGATGGACAATTATTGGTAGTTGTGATTTATACACAGCATGTTTGTTACAATGAATGTTTTATTATATCTTTCAGAGTGGAATCCTCGGGGATGATAATATTGATGTTAAAGAAGAGTATAAAGGAGGATGAGGAGTATGGAGTGATGGAGGAGTTTTTCAGAAGGACACAAGGATGTGATGAGCCACCTAATACCAGGAACCCACCAGAGAGATGTCCACGTCCTCTGTATTCCGGGATTCCACACAGGAAGGTCACACCATCCCACACTGTTACAAGGTTGTGGGATGGAGAATCTAGAACATGGACTCACCAGAGATAGATGTGTGGATATTTTAAAGTGACCTTATTTTTTACAGATGATATTTTCTCTCATTTCCTTGATTTAGAGTGGAGATCCAATCGATATAGAATTTGAGGTGAAAGCAGAAGAAGAAGAAGAGGCGTATGTGAGGGATATCAGCAGTCTATGGAGGAGGATGGAATAACGGGGACATTTATAGAGGAGGACACTCCTACAGAGATCAGCACAGGTGGGTCATGAACACTAAATTTATCCTCCACTACATACTGCTCACGCGATTGGTCCAGAGTAGGGCGGGGACTGGGTGATATCAGCCTGTAATCCCCTGGTCACTTTCCTGAGCTGTGTTCCCCGTCCTGTATTCCTGGATTTCTCTCGGATAATCTTCCTTCTCTGTGCTGCAGACACAATTTATGTATCTAGAATGGATTTATGAGAGGTTCTGGGGTTCAGCTGGCAGCAAAATGTTGATCATTTTTATAAGCGTTCTTTGAACTAGGCACCTTGGGAATATATACCCCATATCCTGGATCTCACAAGATGTCTGACAGAACAATTCTCCCAGTGTTCCTTGCTCTGTAAGTCTGTGTGGCTGTGCCGGGTGGAGGGATATGTCTGTAGTGTCTCAGACCCAAGTCACTGAGTTGCAGTCTCAGGAGATGGAGGCAGCGGAGTGGGACCCTACATAGTTACATAGTTAGTCTGGCTGAAAAAAGACAGTCCATCCATTTCATTTAAAGATAAAAGTTTATAATCCTATGCCCACAGTTGAAACCAGAGGAAGGCAAAAAAAACCCAGCAAAGCATGGTCCAATTTACTCCTGCAGGGGAAAAAATTCCTTCCTGATCCCCCGAGAGGCAATCAGATTTTCCCTGGATCAACTTTCCATCTTAAGTGTTACATCCTAGTTATATTTCCGTGTATCAAGAAAGAATCCAGGACTTTCCTACAGCAATCCACTGAGCTAGAGCCACAACCTAACTCTTGAGGGAGTCTATTCACATTCTCACAGCTCTGGGAAGAAACTTTCCAATTTGCGTGAGAACGTAAAGTGACCTTTCTCGTATTTGGAGATTACATTTCTTTTGAACACTCCAGTATACATAAAGTAGTCCCCCCCCTTGTGTATCTGGATGCATGGAGATGATATCTCAGGGTGAATAACTGAGAACACCTTAAGTATCCTAGGAGATCATATCCCCCACTATGTATCATATACATGGAGAATCATATCCCCCTTAATGTATTATACATGGAGATCATATCCCCCCTTATGTATTATACATGGAGATCATATCCCCCCTTATGTAGTTTTATACATGGAGATCATATCCCCCCCTTATGTATTATACATGGAGATCATATCCCCCCCTTATGTATTATAAATGGAGATCTTATCCCCCCTTATGTATTATACAGGAGGATGAGAATTTCCTGTATACATGGAGTCATATCCCCCCTTATGTATTATACATGGGTAGATCATATCCCCCCTTATGTATTATACATGGAGATCATATCCCCCTTATGTATTATACATGGAGATCATATCCCCCCTTATGTATTATACATGGAGATCATTTCCCCCCTTATGTATTATACATGGAGATCATATCCCCCCTTATGTATTAACATGGAGATCATATCCCCCCTTATGTATTATACATGGAGATCATATCCCCCCCTTATGTATTATACATGGAGATCATCCCCCCTTATGTATTATACATGGAGATCATATCCCCCCTTATGTATTATACATGGAGATCATATCCCCCCTTATGTATTATACATGGAGATCATATCCCCCCCTTATGTATTATACATGAGATGATCATATCCCCCCTTATGTATTATACATGGAGATCATATCCCCCCTTATGTATTTATCATGGAGATCATATCCCCCCTTATGTATTATACATGGAGATCATATCCCCCCCCTTATGTATTATACATGGAGTGATCATATCCCCCCTTATGTATTATACATGGAGATCATATCCCCCTTATGTATTTACCTGGAGAAATGGAGATTCATATCCCCCCTTATGTATTATAAACTTTTGTATTATTGGAGATCATATCCCCCCCTTATGTATTATACATGGAGATCATTATCCCCCCTTATGTATTATACATGGAGATATATCCTTATGTATTATACTAGCGATATCCCCCTTATGTATTATACATGGAGATCATATCCCCCCCTTATGTATTATACATGGAGAAATCATATCCCCCCTGTATGTATTATACATGGAGATCATATCTTATTTATGTATTAATACATGGAGATCATCTATTCCCCTTATGTATGTATTACATGGGAGATTTATTCCTATGTTCTCTACATGAGCATATCCCCCCCTAATGTATTATCTACAGTGGAATCACATCCCCCTTATGTATTATACTAGAATACCAACTTTTTCGATTCGCGCTGATTGTATACATGGAGATCACATCCCCCCCTTATGGCTTCATTCATATTTATACAGTGATCTATGGTTTATGTATTATTCAGGAGATAATATCACCTCCATGTATGTTTACATGGTGATCTTAGCCAGGTTATACCAGCAATATCCCTCCTTATGTGTACATGGGTCTGTTTGTGGAATATTGGTTGATACATAATGTATTTAACATGGTGATCATAGAAAGTAATATATTTGATAATATTCCTTATGTCATTCAATATCCCCCATATGTAGGACATGGAGATCATATCTTATGTATTTACAGGAGGGAATCTTATAGCAGATATTAGGTGATCATACATCCTTCTGTATTATTACAATGGTGATTCATACTTACGTTTTAATTACAATGGGATCATATCCTCCCTTCATGGAAACATGGAGATCATATCCCCCCTTACTGTAAATGGCGGATCATATCCCCCCCCGCTTTGTATTATACAAGGAGAATCCCCCCTTATGTAGCTTAACAGGTGCCTCATGTTAATATAATGGAGATCATTCACACTTATGGATTATACATGGAGACATATCCGCTCTTATGTATTTTACATTAGGGGATCATTCCCCACTTAGATTATTACATGGACACATAAACATTATTTAGGGACACATAGGAGATATATCCCCCTTATGTCCCTTACACTTGGGAGATTATCCCCCGTTTACTGATAACTGGGCCATAAACCCTTATGTGTTAAAATACCAATGGTGATCATGCTCACCAAGGAAAATTACTTAAGGTATACTCTACATAGGGCCATCATAAACCTTATGTTATATACTTTGGCCCCAGATCACCAAGTGTACTTACATTGCATCAGATCCTTCCTCGTTATGTATTAGGGCCACAGAATTGTTCTTACATGGGGCCACAGATAACGTTACTTAGGACCTTTCATGAATCCGTTATTAGGGCCACCAGTATTATAATGTTAACTTAGGGACTTTGCTTACATACATGGAGAATTTCCCCCTTTGTTACTATACAGGGACATTTCCCCCCAGAATTGTTTACTGTGGGACACAGATTTGGATTACTGCGAGGGCCACATGAGAACCGTTATTAGGAGCCTTATGTATTATGCTGGGAGATCATATACCCCCTTAACATTACTTAGGGCCACAGAAAAACGTTACCCCTTTAGGGTTCACCAGAATTGTTACGAACTTAGGGGAAGTGAATTACCATTGTCAGAATTGTTCTGAGGGACACAGAATTTTATGAGGCTTACATGTGCCTGCGAACCCTCGTTGTTGTTATCGTTAGGCGGCCACAGGAATTCGTTACTTAGCCAATCAGGCCACGTTATTAGTCAGCACGTTGGGTTAGGGTCACAGAATTGTTACTTATGGGGAACAGAAACAGATGTTGCCTGTTACTGGCGGGCCACAGAACCGTCGGGACTTAGGGCCACAGACAACCGTTACTTAGGGCGGGGAAATTTAAGAGAAACAGAAACGTTTATTAGGGCCACAGAATTGTTACTTAGGGACAGTTAATTGGGACACAGAAATTACTTAGGGCACTGAGGGGTCTACCTATTTTCACAGAATTGTTACATGAGGGACACAGAATGCTTTGTTACTTAGGGCACCAGAAACGCATTAGGGCAAAAAAACTTTTCTGGGCCACAGAAACGTTTACTTAGGGAAACAGAAATGTTACTCAAAGGGACAGACAAAAGTTGAATTTTACTGAGGGAACACAGAATTGGTTTACTGACGGACAGACACAGATAATTGTTACTGAGGGACACAGAATTGTTACTTAGGGACACATCGTTAAAACGTTACTTAGGGACACATGGAATTGCGTTAACGGTTAGGGACAGACCACAGAATTGTTACTGAGGGGACACAGAATTGTTACTGCGGGGCCACAGGTAACCGTCTACTTTAGGGCCACTAGGAATGCGTTACTTAGGGCAGACACAGAATACGTTACTTAGGGCCACAGAATTGTTACTTAGGGACAGGACACAGAATTGTTACTGAGGGATCACATTGATAACCGTTACTTAGGCCACAGAAACGTTACTTAGGGTACAGAAAACGTTACTTAGGGCCACAGAAAAACCGTTACTTTGGGGACACAGAATTGTTACATCAGGGACAGACACAGAATTGTTTTACTCAGGGACAGACACAGAATTGTTACTGAAACGTTTACTTCAGGGACACAGAATTGTTACTCAGGGACACAGAATTGTTACTGAGGGACACGAATTGTTACTGAGGGACACAGAATTGTTATCAGGGCCACAGACACAGAATTGTTACATTGCACAGGGAAATTGGGTAACTAAGGGACAGACACAGAATTGTTACTGAGGGACACAGAATTGTTACTGAGGGGACACAGAATTGTTACTCAGGGGACAACAGAATTGTTAATGGAGGCTGACACAGAATTGTTACTGATGGACACAGAGAATTGTTACAGAACGTTACTTAGGGCTACAGAAGAATTGTTACTCATGGCCCAGAACACAGACTTGTTACTCAGGGACAGGACACAGAAATGTTACTCAGGGACCACAGAATTGTTACTCAGGGGGACACAGAATTGTCCAACTGAGGGAGACACAGAATTGTTACTCAGGGATCACAGAATTGTTACTGAGGGACACAGGAATTGTTACTTGAGGGACAACAGAAATTGTTACTCAGGGGACAGACACAGAATTGTTACTGGGACAGGACACAGAATTGTTACTCAGGGACTCCAGAATTGTTACTCAGGGACACAGAATTGTTACTGAGGGACACAGAATT